GGAACTGTGCACACAGGTGCGAGTCGAGTTCTTGGACAGACTGGGCCCGAGGAAAAGTGCACACAGGTGCGAGTCGAGTTCTTGGACAGACTGGGCCCGAGGAACAGTGCACACAGGTGCGAGTCGAGTTCTTGGACAGACTGAGGACGAGGAACAGTGCACACAGGTGCGAGTCGAGTTCTTGGATGACTCCAACAGATCCATTATTTGCTACGTAAAGGGCCTAGTCCTTGAGGGTGACATTTGGACATTTCTGAAGTCTGAGAGAGAAGCTAGAGGCTTAAGATAAAGGTATCTTGCTTTCAAGCCAAGAAATGGAGGCAATCCTTAGCTGTACTGGACTATATGTGTAATTGTTGTGTTTGCATTGTGTTGCTTCCTAATACAATAAACATGTATGAGCATAAAAAATAAGAAAAATAACTAACCAGTGCATCAAATACAGTGGTAGCTCTGTGTACGTTTGCTTTGGTATACCTCCTGTGTAGACACACACACACATGTGCTTGGTGTGCGACCTTTGTTTGGAATATGACCCGTGTGATAGAACTTTGTATAAGTCACTATTAGTAATTACACCCGTCTTTGAAAATAGTTTTAGTACAAGTGAAACCTTACGAGCCTCACCTACGTGCTGGAAAAGAGAACGTGGGCGCACACGCACGCGTACACACACACGCACACACAAAAGAAAGAAAGGGGAAAAAAGGAAAGAAAGAAAGAAAGAAAGAAAGAAAGAAAGAAAGAAAGAAAGAAAGATAGATAGAAAGAAACAAAGAAAGAAACAAACAAACAAGGAAGAAAAGAAACAAAGAAACAAAGAAACAAAGAAACAAAGAAACAAAGAAAAAAAAAACAAAGAAAGAAAGAAAGAAAGAAACAAAGAAAAAGAAGAAAAAAAAAGAAGAAAAAAAAGAGGAAGAAAGAAAAAAAGAAAGAAAGTAAGAAAGAAAAAGTAAAAGAAAAAGAAAAACGAAAGAAAGAAAGAAAGAAAGAAATAAAAAAAAAAAGAAGGAAAAACAGAAATAGAAAAATAAAAAGTTAGGCACACTATAATTTAAAATTCAGGATGTTTTTTTGTGTGTGGAAAGGGGCTCCCCGTCTAAACAATAACATCTCCACTCCCCCACTACCTCCCCCACCCTATCCCCCCCCCCCCCCAGCAACATTCTCGCAGACACTCGACTCTTTTCCGAACGTAAAGTAAGGGTGAATTTTATATATATATATATATATATATATATATATATATATATATATATATATATATATATATATATATATATATATATATATATATATATATATATATATATATATATATATATATATATATATATATTTCATGTATTCTAGTATAAGGCAGTGTATAAATTATTTAATACAACCTCATCAATGTATAATATGCAAATAACAATAACAATAGTTTCGTATGGGAACATACTAATCACTGCCGACTTTAGTTCTTGAAATTTTTTTTTTCGGTATACATACAGTTTAGTACAAGTACTGTTCGGTATACGTACTGTTTGGTATACGTCCAAGGATCATGAACGGATTAAGTACTAATATTGAAGTGCCACTTTAGTAATATTTTAATACGAAAACTTTAAGGGCGTTTAAAATGAAAACGTCGTCTTTTTCACTTCACAGTTTTACCACAGGGAGTTTTATCTAAAGTGGTTGGCAACGCTCCGTGAGCATGCCATTTTCTTCGTGACCAGTTTAGGGTAAAAAGCCCCCCCCCCCCCCCCGCCTCTCCCCTCTTCTCTCTCTGTCTCTTGCACATACTCACACACACATGCACACACAGACATGCACACATACAACAACAGCAGCAACAGCCACAATAACAATCGGTAATTTGTCTTATAAGGTTTGGAACTTGTAAGTATAAGATATGTTACGTGTATCTGTGATAACCTCACAATCAAACTTATTGTCTGTAAAATGTTCTATCGTTGAAATAAAGCAGCCAAGATTGCATGCCATTGTTTGTTTCGACTCGTTGGGGTGTGTGCCCCTCTCTCTCTCTCTCTCTCTCTCTCTCTCTCTCTCTCTCTCTCTCTCTCTCTCTCTCTCTGTCTCTCTCTCTCTCACCCTCTCTCTCCCCCACTCTCTCTCTCTCTGTCTCTCTCTCACCCTCTCTCTCTCTCTGTCTCTCTCTCTCACCCTCTCTCTCACCCTCTCTCTCTCTCTCACCCTCTCTCCCTCTCTCTCTCTCACCCTCTCTCTCTCTCTCCATCTGTGCAATTGTATTATTATTTTTCTTCGCGTTTACCGGCTGAGAACTCCAGCAGAAAGATCTGGTTGTTCGTCCACCTCTGGACTTTAGACTTGTTCCAGAACCTGAGTGTTTTACAGATGTAACCTATTGTTATGCAGACTGCTGGTTCCTTGCCCCTCAGGTAGATGCACTCCGACTTCGAAGGAAACCCCCAGTTAGTCGACTTTTACGACATCCTTGTCGGGGAGGCAGTTGATTTTGTTAATCCCACAGTGGGGTCCTGGAAGTTTTTAAATGTTGAAAACATGCTGGCTTGAGAATCAGCTGTACACACATGTGGTAACTGTAACCGACTCACAGAGTATCTTGAGACGGGTGGAGACCAATATGCTTCGTGAAGAGTGGCAAGCATCGATTCAGATGTCCAGGGTAGAAAGCGACCAACAGATATTTCCTCTAGAAAATGTCTGTTTATTAGGAATTAAACAGTGAGATAGACTGGCTGGTGCTGCACAGATGGTGATGAGAAGCTAAGATGTTGTAAGAGCTCTTTTAGGTTGAGTGAACAGTGGGGAGTCACAGACGGATCATCACGGTCTGTGGAGAATGGTACTGCGTGGAGTTACCGGGGGGAGGGGGGGGGGGTCTGGACGACGATCAGCACTCAAGGGAAAGATGAGACGGATATACAATCATACTTTCACTGTTACTATCAAAATTAGAACTCTTCGCTTGCTGCTGAAGATGGGGGCCGAGCGCTTATGGAAGTGTCCTGAGTGTTGTGATGTTGGTTCTTGATGAAACATGAAACTATAAATATGTTGTAAATGAACATAGCAGCATCATCATGTAGCAGGTCACTTGCAGAGCGTCGCTCTTGAAACAGCCTGCCCAGTAGACGAAGTAGTTTGCCGGCGAGCCAATGGGCTTTCTGATCACGTATGCAAAGACACACAATATCATGCATTTTTATATGAAACCCAGGCTTGGAAGTCAGCTGGAAGGGATTTTGCGGCAGGCAGCTTATTGTGGTGATTTTGACAATGGCATAAAAGATAATACCTCAGCCGAACCAACATCACAGCACTCGGCACATTCGTACCAGAGCTCTGTCGTCATCTTAAACAGCTAGAGCAGAGTGCCAACTCCAATATTGCCAGTAAAGTAAAGGACCTTTTTCATCGCCTTTTATGCGTTTTGGGCACATAGGACTGGATCTATAGTTTGTAGACTAACGGCTACAAGATGGGTGATTTGGTCAGCATCACATCGTCGTCATTACTTCCCAGGATTGCACCTGGTACCCACTCAAGGGTGGATAAAGCTGGGAGCCAAAGTCGTTTAAAAACACACAAAAAAGTATGGCTCCGCCAGTGAGCGAACCCACGACCATCCGATCGCAGGCGAGAGATCAGCCTCTACGCCACGGTGACTCCTAGTAGTGCCAGTAGCCGTATGATTATATGTCCGACTTGATTTTCCTCTGAAAGTTGAGTGTCGGCCAGATCTCATCTCCACTCCTGGCTACACAATTCTTTTCAGATCACAGGGAGATATTCAAAACCGTGTACTTGCTTGTCAAGGGCCGTGACGGTTATTGTGGTTCCGTCCAGACGGCAATGATAAACGTAACATTATCTACTAAAACCTAGTAACAGACTGGAAATACTGGAATATATTTTTTTAAGTCCTGAAAAGGATGTGTAACTATATGTTATATTGATACAGGATTTTGTAACCTGAATGTAGAATAACCAAAAGAGAGTTGATCGTAAAATGCAACAATTTATTTTTTAGGAATGTTTCCTTTGTAGTTTGAGTGCATCTACGTGAGAGGTGAGGAAATAACAGTTTGCATATATAATGCAAAATATGTTAAAAAAAAAAAAAAAAAAAAAAAACAGCTCCTACCTGGACAAAAGACTATAGTACAAAAGCAGACAAACATGACCTTTCCTGTCTGAGTTTACAACCAATGAACGATAAGAAAAAGACAATAAGGATGAGGTGGAGTGTGAGCAGGAGGAGGAGGAGGAGAAAAAAGAACAAGAACAAGAACAAGAAGAAGAACAAGAAGAAGTCTTCTTCTTTCTTTCTCTCTTTTCTTCTTCTTTCTTTCTTGCGTCTTCTTCTCTCTCTTCTTCCCTTTCCTTCTCTTCTTTCTTCTTTCTTTCTTCTTTCTTTTTCTTTCTCTTCTCTTCTCTTTCTTGCCTTTTCTCTTTTTCTTCTTCTTTTCTTTCCTTCTTCTCTTGTTCTTTCGTAAGAATCTTTTGTGCTTCTTCTCTTCTTCTTCTTCTTCTTCTTCTTCTTCTTCTTCTTCTTCTTCTTCTTCTTCTTCTTCTTCTTCTCTTCTTATCTTTTGTGCTTCTTCTTCTTCTTCTTCTTCTTCTTCTTCTTCTTCTTCTTCTTCTTCTTCTTCTTCTTCTTCTTCTTCTTCTTCTTCTTCTTCTTCTTCTTCACTTCTTTGAGTTACTTTGCTTAAGTTTCGCAGGCAGAAAACTTTCTGTGTTCTTTCCGATGGGCTGTAGAAGTTCATCTTCATCTCTGGGCACTACCATTATTCCATCTTCTTCGTCTTCATTGCTCTCTTTCATTATATTTTTTCAGCCTGGCTCTCTGGGACAGGCAGAACCAGGACATTCTCCCCAGACGCCCAAGCCAGCTCTTCAGCTGCTCTTTAAAAAACTGTATAACTGGCTTCGTTTCTAGCCTTCTTCTAATGTGTTCTTGTATGCATAATCTAAATGTAAAAAGAGATGTCCCTTGCTGTCTGCTAAATATCAGCTGTGGTCGCCGAGGTACGGGTAGTCGAGAGAGTTTCACTTTCCTTGACATGTTCATCAACAGAATCGCTGAAATAGTGAAGACGAAAACCATCAGGGTCATAATCATCATCACTATCAACAATAACAGCAACAATTAACACTACCGCTGTTAAATGCGTCGTGGAGAGAGAGAGAGTTATATTTCTGTCCAGCTCTTGCCGTGTAGCCAATAGTAACTGTCATTCTCTGTGTAACATCAGTAGAACGACTCTAACGTTTAAGGGCCTTCGTGCCCAGTTTAGAGGACTGAGAAATTATCCCATTAGTGGAAAGTAAAGTAAGGTAAAGTGAAATGTGAATTTCTGCGATGTGCTCTGCTAGAGGTTTGATTCAACTCTTCACATTGCTATATTGAGGTACACACAGTTGCTAGAACACACCAGACGACGAACGTTCAGTTATTGATCTTTATTCGCTGTTACCACAATCTTACTGATTATGTGCTTCCGGCTGTCTCGTGGTCGTTATGCATGGCCGATTCCTGGTGACCTTGTCAATTATCTCACACGCTGATTCTCTCCGCTCATCTTTCGGATCATACATTTGTATCCTACTAACGTATTGTACCTGGTATTAGTACATGATAAAACTGGCAAATCAGGAAACATCCATTTCTGCTCTCATACTTTCTATATTCACATCAGCTGTTCTCTCGCACACGACCGCACACATCCAGGTCCCAACTTCAACTGCCTTCCTACCCTCTCTGGGCTTACATCTCCCGTTCCAGTCTCACGCTTTCCTCGTATCCCTCATTAACACACCACGGGATATTCAAGACCTGTTTATCTCGTTTTTCACTTGTTTCACTGGTCTTCTGACCTTGTTCCCTAATCGGGAAAGCTCTAGGATTTCCCCGGGAATTCACGTCATTACAATGTCCTTTTCCCACGCCTTCAGGCGATTTTGGGGCACATATGGTTAGACCTAAATTTTATAGACCGATCGGCATTTAGTGGATGATATGGTCAGCATATCATCGGCCACCTTTATTTTTCAGGACAGCACCTGGTACACACTTATAGCTGGGTTGAACTGGGAGCCAATGTCATTGATGAGACAAAGTCCGGCTCAGTCAGCATCCGAACCAAGGACCTTCCGATCCGCAGGCAAACGTCTAGCCACTAGACCACTGTGACTCCACATGGGTGAGAAAGTAATTTTTAATACACTTTTTAAAAAGAGAACAGTTGATTGATTGATTGATTGAGTTGCCCATTTCCGTCTTTCCAGACGATAGTGTTATACTGCGCAATGAGGAGACATGAGACTCACAGCCCATGCGATGGCGAGTGTGTCTAGCAAGACCCACCCAAAAAAAAAAAATGTCTTCCACAATGAAAGCATGGGATTTCAGGACCATTGTTGTCAAAATCTGTGTTTAATCCGTTTCTTCTCAGACGCTCAACTCTTATACTTTCTGCAATCATTTCTTTCCTTCACTCTCATTTCCTTCCTGATATGCCCTTTCCACACAACATGGTCCATAGTATTTTGTTCCCATAAGTCCATCTTATTACCAAAAAGAGTACAGTACACATAGGAATATTGTAGAGAAAGTACACTAGTGTCTACAATCAACTTTCGGTGATATGATACTGATAAATAGACTGAAACCACTCGCAGAAGATAAATTTGAGGATTAACAGGCGGTTTTTCCATAAATGCCAGAGAAAACACAAATGTGGAACATAGAAGAGATTTACATAATGATGTTTGTGGATTTTAAAAGGAAAATGAAAATGGCGAGACGGATAAACAATCAATCAGTTATTGGTGATATCGGAATTGGAACTCTCCGCTTGCTGCTAAAGAAGGGGACGGAGCGCTTATGGGGGTGTCCCTAGTGCTGTGATTTCGATTCTTGACTAAACATTCAACATTCAAAAGGGAAATGATGAAGTTTTCAGGTTAAAGGTTACAAGTGAGAAATCAACTACATCGCATGGGCATTATCCCCCATGGCTAGGACTCCGTAGAACGGCTAGCTGCCTGTCCACAAAATCACACAAAGCAAGAATTCCGTAGCTACGACGACCCTCTTCTTGGATTCCTATCAAAATTAGAGTGGTTAACCAAACAGCATAGCCGTAAAACGAACTCAGGACTTTCTAAGCGCGAGGCAAAGAGGCTGACCTTTTTGCTAAGGAGAACCCCAGAAAGTTTGTTGGATGCTATATAAGACAAACCCATTCCCCCCCCGTCCAAGCCTCCCCACTTCCCTTACACACACACACAAAGTGAGCGAGCAAGCCTATACCAAAACAGTTAACCAACATGGCTATGTATGGACGACACTTGTAGTATAGTAACATTCAAAGACACAAAGATAGATCCTTTTTAAAGAACATTTAGTTGAAATCATAGTGATGCCTTATTTCCGCTTCTTTTAAGTTTGACCTTAGAAAAATTATAAGGAACGTAAAAGAAGACTGTACTTTAGAAAAAAAAATAATACATGGTTATGCGCAGATGACATATATGTAGTTGGAGAAAATAAACTAGAGATAGTATAAACACTGATAACCTTACAGAAGCAGCTAACAGAAGCCTTTGCTGTTACTACTAGTAGCCTTACCATGGAAACTATGGCTGCAACAAGGGCATTATCATGGCTTCGTACTCAAAAGTTCACACACCTATGCATTCTTAGTTACTTGAACAATCCGAGCTGGATTTATCAGGTAAGAATGGATTGCAACACCAAGCACTTCACGAATAGCTGCCCTAACCATCCTCTTGGTGCTAGGGTATGCGGGTGTTTAGGGAAACGAGCGTGCATACTGTTTTGCTGACACTGCGATTGCTATGGCTGGCCCAGTACTGGACAGAAGTGATGTTATCAAATTCAAGCGCTGCACTTACCGTACCGAGGAGCACGCCAAATGACACGACTTTGTATCCCTGTCTAGACTAATGGATATGAGGGTGCAGCCTGGAGCTGCAGGAAATGTACATTTCACAAAGTGGACAAGACGTTTTATTAACCAACACAGAACAAGCGTCATCAGTCGTTTTACACATGTGGAGCTTCTGAGGAGGAGATCAGAGCACCTATAGATCTGTCTCGAGTGCTGTAATGATAATCCTTTCTAATCACTAATTACTGAGCAGCTGACAAAAATTAGACCGATACGTAAGACATAGTAATAACAACAAGACAGAGAAAATAATAAAAACTTGAGCTACATACAAATAGATTATATGAAATAAAACCAAAGGAAACACACAAGTACTTGAATACACGGGTCGCATGTTGCAACACATTAGGAGAAGAACTATCATCTAGAAAACCTCATGGAAATTAAATATACCATCTTCGCTGTTGCCGGTCCCAAACCCGGATAAGAAACGAGGAGGACTGAGTTAGGGACCATCATTCCAACCCTGTAAATAACCATTTGCTACAAAAGCATGCAGGAAAAGATGGCGAGGCATTATATTAGGAAATAAAGGGATTAAGCAAGTAAGGACGCCCAAAAGAAACCCCAAGACGAACGTAGATGAGGGAGGCCAATGATGATGGACTGGATTCCACCCATGATGTTGAACTGATTGCACAGGAATGGCTCGGAATGCTGAATACGAAGAAGAATAATTAAGGCGGGGGGGGGGGGGGGGGGGGTGGGGGTGATATACGCTGCAATGAATCTGAAAGATTTTGCCATCCTGGGATTGGGGAGGGGGTAGGATGGAAAGAGCCGAACGACGAGGTCAATGAAACGAACCCAAGTCATTCAGATCGTGGTGCAAAAGGCTGTCCCTTGGCAACAAGGACCACATGTCTAATAAGTCGCTTGGACCCATTTCCCTAATGACTTTTGATATGATTATCTTAACACTTCACAACTAACTAGCATGAGAATGACAATATTAGCTCTTGAAAAGCTGGGGGGGGGGGGGGGGAAGAAGAAAAAAGAAGACGAAGAAGATTAATTATAACGATCATAAGAAGAAGAATTTGAAAAAAAAAAATATCAAGAATAACAAATTAAACTTACGACTCCATGCCTGTATTCAATGACTCTTCACTTTTACGTCTTAGGTCTTTATACACATATTCATCTATGGGACAAAACAACAGCAGCTATGTTAAATGTCTGTGTGTCGTCTGTATGTATGCATGCTTGCTTATATACATGTGGGTTTCTATGTCCGATTTTAGGGGAAAAGCACCATCATTCCCTAAGAAGCATGTGGTAAAAAGGTGTCTAATCAGGTATGCCCTCTTCGAAACCGGAGTTCATCTACCACAAAAATGCACACACTGAAACACCTGATCTATAAAACGAATGTACACGAAAAACTCAAGCTCCTCCAGAAGTCCAGAAGTAGTCAAACAGCCAGAACTTTCCGTCACCGTTGAAAGCTCTGAAGAGGAAGACGAAAGTTAAAAATGAAACACGTTCCCTAGTAGACCCGTTCGTGAGATTTTTGATGTATCTTGGAGAGACCACATCACAAAGGATGACATCTGTTCATCATCATCATCATCAGGTGCCTTGCCGACTGGCGTTGGCTATTATGCCTCTCCATAATCTGCGATCTCCTGCAGCATGCATCAGTTCGTGTGCCGACATACCTCCATGCCATGCAACAAGACTGTCAAGCATCTTCTCTCGTTGTCTTTCTCTATCCCTCCTTCCACAGATCTTTCCAGCGGTTACAACATGTTCTATTTTCCTCTTCTCATAACATAGCCGAAGAATGATGACTGTCTCCCTCTAATGTCTGTGATAAGTTGTCTTCGGGCTCCCGCCTCTTTCATAACCTCTTGGTTGCTCTTTTTGGCTCTATAAGCTATTCTAAGCCTTTTTATGTAAAACCACATGTCTGAGGCCTCAAGAAATTGTTTTGCCTGCCTACCGATTGTACAGGATTAACAGCCACATGTTAAAACTGGATGTATGTAGCAAGCAAGAATTCTTTTTCTTACTCTCAATGACAAGGATATATTGCACAAGACGTTTTTCATTTTATAAAATGCAGTTTTTGCCTGTCCTATTCTGTTTCCTATCTCAGCTATGCATCTTCTATCTGATGTTATCCTTGTGCTCAGATACTTTGATTTCTGTACTTGTCCTAAAATAACACTATCGACCCTTATTACACATTTAGGAAAATTAGTTTCTTTGATCCCATCATTATTTCTGTCTTCCCATTATTCAAACTGAGGCCCATTCTTCCACTTTCTAACACTACAATGTCTATCATTTTCTGTAGTTCTTTCTGACTTGTTGCTATCAAGACTGTGCCATCAGAATAACGTAAATTGTTTATATTGTACCCACCAACCACAATTCCGGGCATATCAATTATGTTACATCTGTTACATAATTATTTATCACACACAAAACATGTTTAGAAAGGTAAAGGAGCACATAACCGCAAATTCCCTTTTGAGGTCTCATGTAGTTAGCATCCTTCAAATATTTCATCCGGGGCGTGATTGTGTTTGGGGAACGAAAACAGTCAGAAACAATGGCTGGTGCTGCACGACCGGGTGGTGTGGTGAACTGATGCATGGCAAGCTAGGAAAAAAATGACCTCGTCTCGTAGGTCGACACATCCTTAAACGTGTGCGAGGTACATTCATAGAAGGTTAGGCGGCCGGTGTTATATTGACCACATCACCCACCGAGCACTAATTGGTCTTTAAATTATAGGTCTAGGCCTATATGCCCTACATGCCCAATATGCCCGAAGGCGTGAAAAATGATCATTTACTTTATCTAATGAAAACAACACTTAGTAAATAAAATATAACTAAATATTTGTCATTACTCTGATACAGACAGCGCGGTCTTCAAACACACCTCGGCTCTCTTCGACTTTGCGTTTATTGCACGCTGCCCACAAGCCCAGAAGAAATGCAAGTAGACAGATGCCGGCCATAGTTACATAAACTACTATCCAGAAACTACTCGGAGAGTAGATGTCTGCTCTTGATATAGCTGAAAAGAAAGAAAGAGTGAAAATGAAGAAGAATGATCATTGTTTACCCTAACTTTCCTAAAAATTCAATTATTAAACAATTAATCAGGTGTCGTCTCTGATTTTAAAAATGAAGAAAAAAAAAACACACACACACACACACACACACAAACACACACACACACTATGTCACTGCAAGCGTCGAAGAAACAAAGTGACATATAGCAAAAATCCAGATAAAGAAACATAACAAGGTCAAAGACAGAACAAAACATTTAAAGTTAGAAAACCTTAAAAACAAAACCAACCACGAAACAGAGGATATCGGACTAGAAGCTGTCGTCATACAACACAAGAACAAAAGAGTAGCTGTTCTGTCAACGAACTCAAGAGCAAAACAGAAAATACCAGACTAGAAGTACCTATGCCTCCGATGTAACGAGAAGAAAACCATGTGTGAGAAGACAATTCAACTTAACATGTGAAGGTAGAGATGTGATCTACAGTAGAAAACAAGAGATATTCCGTTATCAACAACATGCACAGAGAATGTAACGATGTTTTCAAGGTAATGGAAACCAATAGCTCTCTAAAAGACGGTGCACCACATAATGGGTGTACAATATCTTATTTTAACCAAGTAAGATAATAAACTAGATCCAAGAGGATAAACAAAGCAAACAATGTGCAGTCAGGTATTCTCATAAAGAGATAGATTAAACCTCGATTAGGATGCAGTTCGTTGTGCTGACAGACAATGGAAAAGAAGTCCTTAACAGCAAATTCGAAAGTACTGAAAGAGATGAATGTCAAACACAATACTAATTCATTTTACAAGCCAAGAAGTAACGGGAAGAATGAAATACGACAACAAACTTTCTATCACATCATCATCAAGCACGTTAACAGAGACTGGGACTTGTAGCTAAGCTAAACGCTATCATAGATTAGTGGAGTGAGAGCATAAAACATTCACCCTTTTATACGATGTAAGACAGAGATGCTAATTCATCTATTGACAATCTTTTTAAGTCAAGAAGGAAATGTATGGGAGAAGACTTTCATGAAGTAGGGCTACCAAAAAATGCATAAAGCTTATGTCAAAGTACTGAGACAGTTGTGCTGACCGCTTAGAGCAGTTCAAAACTACTGACGGAAAAATTTGCCAACAGAAACCACAACAGTCAAAAAATGCTGGCGTTGGTTCTGCAACGTCCTGTCAAGGATACGCAACAATTTTAACACCGAACTGAAATAAATGGGTGTCTACGAGACAGGACACATGAAAGAAGAAGAAATATGTCTATCAACAACCTTCATGATGGACACATCAAGTGGCCAAAGTGTGGTCAGAGTCAGAAAGGGCCACCAAAGTATGTGAGAAATTCAGTGATTCTTTGAGACTGTCTGCTATCCTTAGGAAGCTTGTATCTTGCCCGCCATCTTGGGGAAGCCTACTATCTTGAAGGGGGAGCTGAATACTAGTCATTTGCCATTGGCAGAATTTGTCCAATTTTCATTAAAAAAATCATGTCCCTGTATACCTTGACTAAACAACTGACCATTACTGACCACTACTGACTCCCCCCCCCCCCCCCAAAAAAAAAAAAAAAAAAAAAAAATAACATTAATCTAACAGGCCGAATATATTATTAAGTGTTCATTTTTTACTGTATAAATTCATAGCCCCATATACCTTGACTATCATAACCCCTACTAAAGAGTCACTGCACAACGATTGTTAACGCGTAGAACCATTTTGAATCTCACGGATCCTTATGCGCCTACAATATAAACACTTTAGGAGGCAACACGATAATTAACTTTATATACTACTAGCGTTCACGCCCATACCATACAGATTTTAACCTACAATGCACAGCTCATAGAGAGAAGTACCAACCAAAAATGTTTAAAAGAAGGTATTCACCGCGTGTAAATTATTGTGCTACATAATAAATGTCACTAAAGATTGCACACGCCCTGAATGCCTAAAAAAGTATACCAAACATTCTTTTTTCAAACATATGTAACCATAATATACGGGACGTGCTAAAATTGCTACCCAGCATGCACGTTCACAAATACACTTGTAATTAGGTTAGTTAGTTGAGTATCCTTTACAGGACGTTGCAGAACCAACCCCAACAGCTCCTGGCTATTTGTGTGGTTTTTCTGGGCAAATTTTAAGTCTAGTAGTTTGCCATTGCTTACTAGACGGTCGGCTATCTTGATACCACTGTCAAAACTAACGCAAGGCACATGGCCCGCAGCCGGGATCGAACCTGGCATCCCGGCATTACGAAGCTTTCGCATCGACTTAGCCACAGAGCCGACTTCATGCGCATCCAAAAGGGAACAAACTTATCAGTTCTTCTCTAAACACGTACCCATCATAGACTTTGAAAATTAATGCAACTAAGAATGTACCTGCTATTTAAGTGCAGATCCCAGAAAATATTTGTACGTATTAAAAAACAAATATCAAATCTCACATTCAATATTCAGGCATGCGCTAGCGGAAACCGTGTCAACATCATTTGAAATGTCGCACTGTACACACATAATGTCTGTATCTTTGTTTACTCTTGTGATTGTCAGCATTTTGTTATCCGGAGAAAACTGGAACTTGTTTGTGTCTGATAATTTACAATAAGGAAGGGTAAATAATTATGCAAATGCAAATGAAACCCAAATACACTGATTCTATGAAAAAAAAAAAAAAACAAATCATAAAGTTATGCTCCACATTGTGGTGTGAGTGTGGTGTGTGTGTGTGTGGTGTGAGTGTGGTGTGTGTGTGTGTGTGTGTGTGGACTCGTAATCCAACGTACCGCGATTGAAACCCTCTGCTGGCTGCGTGGATTTTTATCTTGGTATTGGGCGTCGCAGGTCGACCCAGCCGTAAACGGGTATCAGGATGGCTGTCCCGGGGAAATAAGGACTACCGGCGTAATGCTGACCACATTACCCATCCAGTGCTGATCGGTCTGTACAAATATGGGACTCTCTTCCCATTTACCCGATGCTCCTAAGGTGTGAAAAGGGATCTTTAGAGTTTAGAGTGTAGCGAGTTCAGCCTAAAAGGTTGGCCTCCAAGTGTCTCTGTGCCTGCCTCTTTCTCGCTGTTCTTGTAGTGTTCATTGCATAGCCCTTCTCGACCGTCTTTCTTCTTTTTTCATTCTCAACAGGTGAGCAGATAAGGCACAAGGTTTAACATGAAATTTTGTGTTAATCTAAGAACCTATGGAAGGCAACTGTTGTAGATGACCACTCGAAAGTGAAATGCCCATGAAACGCACACAATCTGATATTTTGAAAAGTTCTCCTGACTCAATTTACTCAAGTTAATGTAAGCATGAAGATGGTTTGCTTTGAATAGTACCCCCCCCCCAACCTCAACACCCCCCTCCCCCCCCCTATCTACCGCAATTAAAGCAAAATTAAAACTAAATGTTTGTTTCTTTGTTGTTTGTTTTAGTACTCAGAAGCCATTGGTTGTTAACCCTTAGGCTTAGTATTATGGATATCGCAACCTTTCGGCCTTGAATCCATTGTAAATACCGTAAATCTGGGAGAAATGTGGCTTTTCTGCCTACCCCCGGGAGTGAACCCGGACTACAAGGAGTTCGTCACTCGGTCACCGCGCAATCAGGTTTAGCCAACTACGCTAGAGAGCCAGGCAAATGTTTTTTCACATTTATATACAAGCTACATGCCGAATTTCAGCAACTTAAACCGAACGGTCACTGAGATACAGATTCCTAAATATATATTGTAGTGAGTCATTTTCTCCCCATTAAGTTATGCCCGATAGATGACTTCAGTAATAAATGTAAGGCGAATGTTTGACTGACTGAGATAACACGAACAGATTATACCAGTGATTCCCAATTCTAAGTGGCGCTGCGAAGTATTCGAAGATACACAAGTTATATATATATATATATATATATATATATATATATATATATATATATATATATATTGTAGTGAGTCATTTTCTCCCCATTAAGTTATGCCCGATAGATGACTTCAGTAATAAATGTAAGGCGAATGTTTGACTGACTGAGATAACACGAGATTTATGTCTTGAGTTTCATGAGAGACATCTGAAAGTCAGGTTTTATGTGAAACATGATTGTTCACGTGAAACCATGAAGGTTGGCTGGCAGGATTCAAATTATCACGGGCCAGACACGACAATTCGTGAGAATAAAATTATCCAGAATATTCGAGAACAGGACAGATCAGAGGGCTATATAATAGCGAAGAAAAGGTTTGTGAGGCAGTCTCGTTTAGGCCAAGGGAAAGGTGTACGTGTGGAAAGTTCGGAAGAATGTTGTCGTCTGAATAGCGTGATTTCCCAATGCCTACCTGGCATAAAATAGCGGCTGACGGAAACGGTGGCCAGCTCGTGAATGACTGTCGTTCTGGAGGGAGGGAGCTACTGTGTTTTTCTTTGAATTGTGTGTGTATTCGACGATGTTACAAAGGTATGATTGACTGTTTAGATCATTGATTAAGAGTGCTACGGTTGTACATGAACATTTACTGACTGCAACAACAGCGAGTGAAAATAAACAGTACGTGTAACTTCTGAACGTCTGCCAGCGTCCATGTTTTTCTCGTTCTTGTCAGTCGGTGAATGGAGAGATGCAGTGACTCATTCGAGCCAGCAATTAATTACAATGAAGATCACTGCATATATATATATATATATATATATATTATATATATATATATATATATATATATATATATATATATATATATATATATATATAAAGATACACGATTTATATATATATATATATATTTATAATATATAACTCGTGTATCTTTGAATATATATATATATATATATATATATATATATATATATATATATATATATATATTTATATATAATCTCTTAGATACCAAAAGTCATACTTTTACTTAGGTTAGGGCGCCGTGGAAAATTTTTTTATTGAAAAAACGAGTTGCGACTAAGAAATGTTTTGGAAACACTGAACTATACCATTCTTTGTTACCCTTTAAGGGAGCCACCACAACACGATTGTTCCATATTTTAGTTATTTCTTAGATATGCTTGGAAGGTTACACAGATGCTATCATTTAAAAAAAAAAAAAAACCTTATGGTTCCCGATAATGCAGGAGCGAAAATAATCGCATTTTTCCCTTCTGCTGGCCTTTTCCCCACCAGTGCTTCCCTGTTTGCTCGCTTAAAGATGTGGGCTCCAGTCTGAGTGTAGCGGTTAGACGCTTGGCTACGGATCCAAAGGTCGTGGGTTCGGGTCCTGATGGTGCCATACTTTGCTATCTCAAAAATAACCTTGGCTTTCAGGTAGACCCAGCCTTAAATCGGTAGGAGGTAGAATATTGGGAAGTAAAGGCGGCTGGCGTGATGTTGACCAAGTACTGATGAGCCTATAGAATAGAGGTCTTTCCCTAATGCCCAACACGCCTGGGACATTGTCTCTTTGGTAATTATAAATATAACACGCCTTAAGCCGTGGGGAAAAAGTCCTTTACTTAGTACCAGTGCTGCGTGGTCTCGAGGCATGGCGTTCGCCTCGAGTGCTGGAGGTTCCGGGTTCAAGTCCCTGTGAAGGCTGGGATTCGTTCACATGAACTTCAAGTAATTTCCCCTGGTATCTGGGCAGTAAGATGTGGGCATTGTTGCTCACTTAAAAAAATCACTTGGCATTTGGAAATCAACAAAAAGGAGCGTAACGGCGCTGCCCGGGCACAATTTAGAGTTAAAAATCTAGCCAAAGTACTTCAGGATCCTCACCGGTGCTACGGAGTTTGTGCACTGCTCTGAAATTCTTCGGACTCGGGCTTGAGTTAGAAGGCAAACGGCGCACTTACGGGTTACTAGCCTTGTGCCATGATGTTGATCCGTCGTCTAAACCAACAACAGTAAACATTTGTCCTCCCCGCGATTT